CCTTTATAAAATTCCTAAATATAGCAACAGACTATACATTTCAGGTTTTTCCTAAATCCAATCTCACCCTTGTCATTTATTCAATACCACCATGTACACGAGGTGTGTATTTCATAACACATTTTTTAAAATGAAGAGAGGAGTAGCACCTGCTTGTGATATTTTGGCAGCTGGCAAACAGAGCCTTGATAATTTGACTGACTTGGTTCATTTCTGAAATTCTGTCAGAGTCTAGCCTTTTGGTCTTTACCATTCAGATTTTTCATATCTGAAAAATACAGTACTGTCATTTTACAGTACCCTACGGTCTGTCCTACTTCATCAAAATGAAAAGGTATATACTACTTCATTGAATAAAGCACATCATTGTTTAATTCAAAATTCAAAAGGAATAAAGGGAAAGGCAAACAGCTCCATAAGTTTAAACATTTAAGGTTGCATGGTTGTATGCATTTGCCAAAAAGTAAACCCCACTAAATTAAGGAGGAGTTACTTCTGAGTAGACAGACAAGTATGGAGAATCCCTGGATTTTAATCTATGCAAAGACTTGTTCAATTGCAATATGGTAGAAATAAGATCTGCTAAGTGCTACCTCAGAAATCCTCCTGCCTTTAAATGTGGTAGGGAGCACTGCCTACTTGCAATGTTGAAGTAAGACTCAACTGTCAATCTGGTCACCTCTTGTATAAAGAATCGGGAGTGGGTGCATTTTGCCTCTGCAAAATATTTCGACATGGCCTAAGATAAAAAGGGTTCGCAATAAATAAAAGGATACCAAAAACATGAATCAGCCACAATAAAATGCATTTAAGCAACATTATTAAGCTTTGATCAAATTTTGCCCATTAAAAGAAACAGGGTGTTAAAAAATAACTAGCTTGGCAATAGAAATTGTGAAAAGGATCTCAGACTAGTAATGTATGCATGTATTATATGTTAGATTTATATCCCACTTTTTTCAGGAGTTTAAGGTGGCTGTTGATTACAAACATGAATGAAAAGTGTGATGTAACTGCAAAATAGGCAAATGCAATTTTAAGCTATAGACATCTGGGTGGGGCAAGGAGGAACAGGTAACATTGGATGTGTCATGATATCACAGTGCAGACTCTGTGACTTAGATGCTTGTATCCGCTGCCAAGACCCAAGTACAAAAAGCCATGGTTTGTGTCCTTATGTTGAGACTTACATTTTGTTTGTGTCTTTTTTTCCCCATCATTACAGTTGTAATGGATGCCTATGGCTGCATAAACAAAAATGTTCAGATCACAGCAGCTAATTGTTCCATTTTATTCTTGCATTGGTGAGATCCCACTTTGAGTATTGTGTCTGCTTCTGGGACACTGCAGTTTAAAAAGGAATGAGAGAACCTAAACCTGAAGAGGGTTAAAGAGGAGCAATGAAGTTGATTAGGGAACTAGAAGCTAAGTGTTATTAAACAAGAATAAAGGAAGCAAGAATGTTTAGTCCAGGGTTCTGAGTGAAGTTCTATGGCAAACTAAATGTCCCTGAAGGAGCAAGGACAGCGTTGCAGTGGAGATTGGTGGCCAGACAATACATTCTGGCTGTTGCAGTCTCTGGACAAGGAGAGATCATGAGATCACCCACTGGCACTCCAGACACCTGCTTCTCATGAGGAGACTGCAGGAACTGAGGTTTTCGCAGTCAACTTGTAAGTCAAGTGGCTGGGGGTTGAGCGATTTTAATCAAACTGTAATGCAGCCTATATGGGCACAAGGTTCGCAAAAGCCTCACTTCTTAATCACTATCAGATGTAATCACTTTACAGTTAAAGAAAGATTTTCTGAGCGGCGAGATAAGAGAAATCCGCATGGTGAGTCAACATTCTTTCTGGATTAAAGGCTTTAAATTTTTAGAAAAAAGCTTAACAAGAATTGGATGTAAGAAAGATTAAAACAGATAAATGGGACAGTAATTTTGAAAGATTAAATTTTGGCACAAGTGCTTTTGAAATTTGATTAGTGAAATAACAGTATCTACATTTATTGCTGACTGGAAACCCCTTATGGACTTTTTGTGTAAAACAGAAAAAAATGAATTTATGATCTATGGGTTTGATGATTGGATAGGATAGATTATGGAAAGAAGAGAGTCATGATGTAACTTTAGAGAATGAGGTAAATTTATAATTGTACTTATAACTGCTATAATCCGAAGTCACTTCCTTATATCTTTTTTCTTTCTTTTCTATTTTTCTTCTACTCTCTTTCTTTTCTTTTTTTCTTTTTGCACTTTAGCTTTCTCTTTTATTTCTTCCTTTTTCAAATTTATAATTGTACTTATAACTGCTATAATCCGAAGTCACTTCCTTATATCTTTTTTCTTTCTTTTCTATTTTTCTTCTACTCTCTTTCTTTTCTTTTTTTCTTTTTGCACTTTAGCTTTCTCTTTTATTTCTTCCTTTTTCTTTTTTCTTTCTTATTCAATTTTACTTTGTATTAATTTTTACTCTTGTTTTTAAAACTTTCAATAAAATTATGTTAAAAAAAAAAGAAAAAATGTTTAGTCCTGAGAAAAGAACACTAATCTGCAATACCTGAAAGGCAGTCACATAGAAGATTGAGACTTTATCGTTCTGTATCAACTCAGAGTGCAGAACATGACACAACGGATTTAAGTTACAGGAAGGCAGATTCTGATTGCATTTTAGAAAAAAGCTTCTGAACAGTAAAAGTGGTTTGACAGTTACTTTAACAGCTCTTTTATCCACCCACCCACCCCATATGTTTAATTGGAGGTTAAGCAACTATCTGTTAGTAATTTTTTAATTGGAATTTCAGAACTAAACTGGGGGATTACCTTGTTGCCCAAGATGATTTTTTCCAGCTCAATGATTCTATGAAACCTATTTTTAATTCAACTTTGAATAAGATATACTATGATTTTAGCAATGTCTTATCTTCAAGTGACTTCATTTAGTGCCTGGATTCAGACCAAAAATGGATTCAGAATGCTGATATTTCAGAATTTCTGAGAAAACAAATAATTGGCATGGTGAAGGTTTTAAAGCTTCAGACCTTTGATGTTCCAGAATCTGTACCTGCTTTAAGAGTGTAACATTAGTTTTTATGAGTCGATTGTATGTATGATAGTGTGGGTTTTCAATTTAATACTGTATATCACTGCCAAGAGCAGATTTCTGATGTTCTGTATTGAAGGTAGTGCCCTTCTCAAACCAGTTGCGCAACCAGCATCTGAAATGGCATCGCAATCAATTCTTGGCAATATTCATAGCAATGAATTCTTAAATATTACACCTTCTGTATGAAACCTGCATTTCTTAAGCAAAGAGTTCCAGCCTGTTCCAGTTTTTCAGCTCCTGGATTCCAGTTTAGTCATCAAAATAGTAAGGTGATTGGTTTATTTTATTTAGATCAGGGCAGTTAATTAAATTGATCCAAATGTAATTGAACTTTTCCATTGCTCTTTCACAACTTAATAATTTTGCTTTCATTTAAAAAAAGACAGTTCCTATCAATGGCATGCTTTGATGGATTAATTCCAAACCCCAGAAATTATGGGTTCACTGCAGCATCATAAAATGTCAAGCCTTTTGTTAAAGACTACACTTAAAAATTGAGATTCTTGAAAACCCCATATTAATTAAGTCTTACTGAAAAATATATCAACTTGTTTTTATATGGCAGCCTATCTTGCTTCTGCTAAGGTCTAAAGCCATACAGTTTTGTATCCCACTATGTGCTATAGGAATCTCTGAAACTTAATTACATTTACTGTTACAAAAAAAGAGTTTATGAACTTTTGCCTTTAGGCAAAAATGTTTATTTCATTGCCTTTGCTATTCATCCTTTTCAACTCTATTGCCTTTGAACTCTTCAGCTGCACAGAGTTATCACCATGATACAGAAACCAGGAAGTGTGCTCTGGAGATGCAGACCACAAGTTGCAGAAAATGAAAAAAGCAAAAGATATAGGAGTCGTTATTTTGGCCACCCTTTGTGCTATTAAAATCTCATTTTCTGCCTATTAGAATGCCCTCTTACTGCTTACGCAGTGGTGATAGCCAGTGATTAGTGTGTAATTCAGTATAATTGTCTTTTCACTTTTCATTTGTGTCATTCCAAGCTTCCTTCTGTTTTTTTTAACCCCACAGAGAAAGAGCAGAAAGAAAATAAAGCTGTTAAAATTCTCACATCCCTGAAGAGATTTCCTGATTGTAATTATAGATTGCTTCCCCCCCCCAACTCTGTGACATTTGCTCAAAATTTAGTGGACACCTCTCCAAAACACCTGTGCTAAATCCACACTAATAGAATAAACTGCAGAATATTTTACCAGAAACTAATAATGTTGAGCTGAGGACAGATGCCAGAAGTAGGAAGTTTAACCAACCTTTTCTGGCACTCAATTATCAAGGCAATTTATTAACATGATCATCCAAGAAAAGCTCATGCAAATTAGGAAAACAATTATGTCCTTCAAGTCATTATAAGCTTCTTGAGAGCAGTAATGCTCTTAATTTATGTATTCATAATTCGATTATAGCTCATCTTAATGTGTATTGCTCATCAGCTGAGGCAATGAGCACCCTACTCGTAAGGTTAAATTTAAACAGTACATATCTTTTTCATTATTTTCATGACAAAGGATCAAAACCAAAATCAATGTCTCTGGAGAGTTTTTTTAAAAAAAGGAAAGGAAAGGAAAGGAAAGAAATCAACTTTAAAAATATATATGTTGGGAAAGCACCACATCAAACATGCCTGTCAGCTGAATACAAGCAGAAAGGCTTTGGGATTGCATTATGAAACATTGCCTTAAACTAAATATAAGCTATAACTTTTGATTCTGTCAGTAGAGAGGGGAGGGGGAGGAAACTAGCAAACTGAAATCATGTGGCTTATATAAAGAATACTTTATGGTTTAAATTTGGCAAATCATTGTATGATGGCCTTGGGGAATAGACAATTTAGTTTGGGTATACAGCAAATCCTGTGTCTGAAAAAGCAGGACTGACCTGAGGTGAAAGGCCATTGCCAATGGCAGGGTTCATAGGATTTGAGGGCCCGGATGGAGGTACAAAGCTGTCTGTATAGCTGGAAAAGCCATGCCTCGTGCTTGGTAGGCAGTAGGCAGAGCTGCTGTCTGGGTTCGAAGGGAGGCTGCTTTGGTGTACCGTGCTTGGTGGAAGAGGTTGAGGTCGGTGAACTGTACTGCTTGGGTCTGATACAGCTGCAATGAAAAGGGGCACAAGTATGAATTTCCCTCATTTCCCCATTCAAAATCCAACCCTAGATCATAGAAAGGATCACCAGACCAGATGCCAATGTTTAAAATGATTCACTGCTTGAGTAGACATCATATGCTAAGCCACTATATATTCTATTTGGTTTAGCTCGTTCAAACTCACTTCTCAGGTTCACTTGGTCTGTAGTGGAAGAGCAGGTTTTAGCCATTGGAGTCATGACTTTTTTTTCTTACTTGCCCTCCTTCCCCTCCACACCTCACCTTCTTGCACATGTCTTGGGTCAGGAAAACAATGAAACAATTTGCATTGTTTCAAAAATAGGTAAGTGATGTAAGGGAAGGAGAGATGGGAAGAAGGAAGCATGGAAAGGAGTCCAAGACATGAGACCAATGCCCAAAGCATTACTTGGCTGTTAGGAGTTCACATCGAGCCCTTGAAAGAAATTTGTCAGACAGCTGAAACATTAACATAATATAAAGAATTGTAAATCATCAAACTTTGAACAGGAAGTTATTAATTTAGGAAACTCTCAAATTGATCACTTTCATGTACTTCCAAGTAACTTTAGGACAGCACCAGTAAACTGATTTTCCTATGAGACTGTAAGAACTCAAGTTTAATGAAAGTACTTAGAGATTCTAACAATGAATTTCAACACTGAGTTTTCTGAGCTATAATTCAGAATCCCTTGTATACACAACAGAATTCATGACAACGGAATGATTTTAAGTTTTCTATATAGTTCTAACAAGGCACATGATTGTTTAATAAAGTTCTGGGCCTTTCCAGTTCTGATCTGGCTTTTGTCTGCTCAAGTATTCTATCCAACTCCTGTCAACATTTATTCTTGGAGCCAGCATCAAACATACCATTCACTACTATAAAACAGTTACCTTAGGTGGTAGACCAGAATGGGTGATGAAACTGATCAAGCTACAATTCAGAACTCTCCAGATATATGGAAATTCAATACTCTTCATTCCTAGCCACATATCTAGAGATTCTCCAGTTGTAAACGCAGAGCCACAGTTTGAATATCTGAAACTGATTTCCAGATTTCACCTTCCATGTTAAGGCTGATCCACTGAAACCAGTGTAAACATCTCTGAAGAGGTAATTATAATGCTTTTCAGATATTCAAAACTGCAGAGGAATGAATAACATGTCAAAGTACAGTTCAAAAGAATTTTTCAACTATACCTTGTGGAATAGAAGTGGGCTGATAAGAAGATTCTGATAACTGATATGTTGGCAGAGTTGGCATGGCAGTGGGTGGGAAACCTCCTGGAATCAAGTGATTGAAAGCCATCAGTTGATTGGCCCCAGCTTGCTTCCTCCATCTGGCTCGACGATTACTAAACCAAACCTAGAAATAGTTGAAAACATAGCTTAAATCAATTTGAAGTGCATTCAGCATTTGCCAAACTGTATTGATAGATGTCTTTCTTACATCTTGATTAGATTATTTAACTAAAAACCTTATGAAAGTTTTAACTAATTCAGAATTAAGGATCCAAAATCCTCACTGTACATAGCTGAATGAGTAGATTATGCCCAATAGTACTAATTATTAAAATATATCAGCTTCATCTCAAAAACTAGTTAGTACCCATAAAACCTTACTTGTCTTGGTTCCAAAATATCAACTATCCATATACTAATATCTTAAAAAGAAGTCTTTCTCTGTCCTGAAGTGGGCTGGTGTTAAATTAATTGTGGTATGTGAAAAAGCCTAATTTGTGGCTACACCCATTGTTAAATATACTCCCATGCAGATTCTTCTCATTTTTGTTCTTTCTATTGTGAAGACTCTTCTATTTAAGTGGGCAGTTTATTCTAGTTGCAATTATTTTAATTTGTCTGTCAACAATATTCAATTACTCTATTGAATTTTTTATTATTTTCATTATCTTAATAAAAGTAATCATTTTTAATTAATAGCCACCTATTCATTATTTTATCACATTTTTTAATTAAGAAAGCTTGCCTTTTCTTAAAATTAAAAGAGAAGTTCCCTTAACTGGCCTACTTTTTAAGTGTGTTTAAATTTACCACTTTTAGTTTAAAGAACATAGCGTTATGAGTTCCCAATCCAGGACATACCCACCTGAATTCAGGTGATGCTTCACTTTTTCCCTACTAATATTTACCCCCAACTGTGCTGTTGCAGTATATAACAAAATATCCAAGTTATGGCTTAAAGGGCTGGTTTATTTCTTAAGAGCATGTTTTGTCATATTTGCAGTACTGCCTCAAAATATTTCTACCGCTGATATAAAAAACAAGATTGTACACCACTACCATTACATTTATGGACTGGAAATTGAATCTTACTAATACAAGACAGCACCTTTTACTGGCACACCATTTGCCTCTCACTACTCACCACCTTCTTTCTCATGATCCAACCATTTCATTATGGCTAATGATAGGGGTGACATAAATATTCTCCACAACAAAGTGCTGCTGCGTTTCCTTCGAAATATATGAAAAATGAGCCACCAGTGAACACAGGCGCTGCAACACATTTGTTTCTATTCATTCCCCTACCCCACCTTTCAGTGTACAAAGGCATGCCCTCCAGTTAAAAAATTGTTCTGAGAAGTTAATTGGACCAACATGAAGGCTAGAGATCCATTGCTCATGAAAATCAGCACAACAGCAGCATAGCAATAGTGAAAAGAGGCAAACGTTGCTCCTGATACACATTCTTGTGCATCTCTAGGCCATGGCTCCATATATCTTTCAGTCATTTAGAGATATTTACTCCCCAACAATATTATAGAAAATTGAATATTATAGAAAATGAGAATATTAGAAAAATATAATATAATATATTATATTATAGAAAAGGCATTGTCAACCAAGGGCATGATGACTGGGGTGTCCTGAGAATAAGATCATCATAGTGGGAGGGCACCAGGTTGGGGAAGACATTACACACACACACACACATACACACACACACAGCCATGGGGTTGTCTGTTCAACATAATCACAAAGGAGATGATGGGACACTTGCCATATTATTTGTGCGTATTGGTTATGTTTGTGTCTGTGTGTATTTTTGCTACCTTTGTGATGGTATTGCAGTGGCAAACTTCCTAATTTTGTTCTTGCATCTTACCCAAAATTCCATCATTCCCTCCTTGTCTTTTTTGTTCATATCCTTCCATACTTTAATTTCCATTACTTCCAATATTTTGCCCCCCTCTCCTCTTCCATTTGGTTCATGGCCATTGAACCAGTCCAAAATTAAATAAATACTTCAGATATACAGCAGTACAGCAAAGAGGGAGGTACATTTTCTGGCTTAAATTAGATGTGTCTCTATCAATGCACCAGTCTTTTGATTTGGTACGTATTTGGCATTCATCCTTGTAAAGCTCAGGCTCTGTTTAGAGGAAACTATCCTCTATTGTCTTGATGAATTCTCTTTTCAAACATTTGCCTATTTGAATGAGAGATCTTGTTCCCTTAAAAGCACATTGGTAATTCTCTGTTTAGGATAAGGCAGTTGAAATGTCATGGCCAATTTCATGAAGTTAAGCCTGGGGGAAGAACCTCAGCTTTGAAAGGATACCCAGCCAGCATCAAGGGAATAGGATCTTGCCTTGTCCAGTTACAAACTACTTCAGAGAAAAATGACAACAAAAAAAGGAAAATGTAAATATTGGGAATTAGAGTTGGAAATTGTCTGCAAGGCCATCTAGTCTGTTTCATTCCAGAGCCAAATATATTGGACTGATGTGTCCAAACCAATTGGAGCGCCTCTACTTTTTTTCACAGGGGCTTTTGCTGCAGCCCATTGCAATTCATTGTTAAGAAAAAACATTTATCTTATTATACTGGCTGGGGAATTGTGGGAGTTGAAGTCCACAGATTTTAAAGTTGCTGAGGTTGAGAAACACTGCCCTAGACTACAGGCAAAACATTGCTTAATTATGTTCATAGGTCTTCACTATGTGAAATATTTTTAAGATCAGAAGTTTTGATTTATGGTGTGTGGCTAGTACCTAAATATCTAAAAAAACAGAGCACCAATATTGATTGAAGACAACATGGTTTTGATATCAGAAAGTTTGCACATAGAAATTCAGAATGCTCTTGACACAGTGATGAGTTGTAACAAGAATAAAGTGGTCACCACTAAATGTTAATCCTGGAAATTTTATGCCAAAATTCAACAGAACCAAAAATATTTTGCATCATAAACTCTCAAAATACTTCTCTGTAAATTTCACTGGCAAATGTTTGCCATATCTGATATCCAAGAATATTATTTAACATTGAATAATATTGAATATGTGTCAACTGGTATTTTGTATTTGATATTTGACAGCCAATAGCTGTTAAAGTTTTAAAAGCAGTAATATTTGACATCCTATCCTAAGATATTTACATTATTCTATACTTGATGAGCTGGTCACTCCTAACTCACTGCCACTTAAAAGAATTGCAAACAGAGCATATTTGTCACACTGGCCATCCCAAAGAGCTATCCCAATTTCTTGTAGCAGCATTTGACACTGCTGTATTTTTTGGATGGACAGGGAATTGGCTGGAGCACCCATCTTATCCCTTATTCCAAAGAATCCTTGCTCAACAGCATTTGGCCCAATTTATTTATTTACCTGCTGTTTATCTGGTATTTTTATTTCTTTTAGCAATTCCAAATCTCATAACAATCAGATTAATGCATCTATTATTATAATTTAATCTACATACTTAGTTACCTGCCTCTGTCTTATCAGTATTCCCCTGGTTTATACATTTGCCACCATTAATATAAACCTTTCTGTAAAACCCAACATATTTCAAATAATAGCCATTCAACAAATGCAGCCTTTTTTTTTTTAACCACTGTTTACTAGCAGATAACTTTATTCTGGCTGCAGTTTAAGGATTTCCTTAAGTATGAATTGAAATATTTATGCAACTACAGAAGCACCAAGCCTAAACAGAAACATAACTTTGGGCACATGGAGAATCAGTGGTGGTATGGTGGCTGAGAAGATAGAGTCAAGATCTCCCTGGAGTTCTCTATTTCAATAGTGCAAAGTATGGACAAAGTGGCACTTAAATTCCCAGTTCATCTTTTAATTCCCAAAAGTTTATTTTCCCCCCTCCTCTGGTACTTTAACCATTGATTGATTGGGGTTGTTTCTCCTCTTCTTTGTGCTGTTTTAACAGAAAAGTCCATATGTTCTACATAGTAGAAAATTTGCTAGACTGGAGATCACAGGAGTGAGTGTGAGACACGATGTGTCTCAAGGGAACCAAAGAAACCATAAGGAATGTAAAATGTCACAGGGTTAAAGCCACATTAAGACAGCTGTTATGTTAATGAGACTTCTGCTTTTCTTATAGCTGTGAGTCATTGTGTTAGAAAAATATGAACGTTGATTGTTGTTTTTAAAGCAGACATCCCAGAACTAAATATGCAAAGATTTAAAATAGGGAGTCCAAATTAGCAGCATTTTTTTTTAATGGTTAATTTTGAGCATAGTCGATCTAATTTTCAGTTTCAGTATCAGAAACATACAACTATTTCTTCTTTAAAATAATCTGCTCTTTATGTATTTATTTTTGAGACCTTCTGTTTTAGATGATGAAACTAAGGTCCATCAAATGTGTCTCAAAATATAGATCATAACGATCTTCTTACCTAGATCAATTACCTAATAAATTATATGGTGGTGTGGGGGATTTACTTCGTTTTTTGATAGAACCACACACATACACACACACACACACACACACAGAGTAGTTTAGTCAAACTAAATGATTCTAAGTACATAGCCAGCTTATAAGGGGTTTATTTTCAAATATCAAAACTGGAGCTGCACATAAATACTGTTATTTGTTTCTGTTTTCCCTACTTTCTTATATTCAAAAAGAAATAAGGAATATATGGATTAAGGTAGATAAAAGCATAGCTAGGGAAAGCAGAGGTGGAGATAGAGAAACATAGGGAGATATACCTACAATATTTACTACTGTATATAAATATATTATTATCCTACTGTGGGGTAATACTGCTAACCTACCAGGTTAGTGGTGTTATCAAAAGTAGCAACCAAGACACTTGAGGCCAACATCCAGGGCATCACTCAACAGAATGAGGACGAGGTCTCCCAAATGCAAAGGGATGGTAGACAATATCACCTAAAGACCATCTAAAAAGCAGGATCCTATAATACTGTAAAGTCTAGATTGTAATATATGATATGTATCCTTATGATGCATTAAAAATCAACTAAAGATCTACTAATAGATCCATATCTAAAATTTGCTTTTCTGCGCTAAGCACTAATGAGACTATATAAAATGAACATGATAAAAATAATTCAAGGTCATTTCTTTATAATTGGTTGAGGTTTCCAATATCATAATCATCTTACAAGTTTAAAAATCAATAAATGAGACTCAGACATTTTCATCTTTATCTTTTTAAAATCTTCCTTAAAATGTCTTCATTGATTTTTTTATCAAGACTATGTTTGAGACATTTTAAATTTTGTTCATTTTTAATCTTGCAAGGTAATTATGATTTTGGAAACTTCTGGTTCAACTAATTACAAAGAAGTAGTCTCATACTATTTTTATTGTGACAGCATCAATAAATGAACTTCATGAATTCAGCTCTGCTCATAACCTAATAGTTAATTATAAATAGGACATGATTTCCATAATACACCAATGCAAGCTGATTTCAGGTGCATATTTTGAAATGCAATTTACATTGCTCGCGGTTAGTCCTAGGCATTCTTTTGCTTTCAAAATTACATTTGGACAATTCGCTCAGTGTTTTATAAGCATATTTGTCATATGATTAGTATTTAGGACACCAAAAATGTAGAAAGTGAATGAAATTATGCTCCCTTCCTATTTACCATTATGTACCTTTGTAAATAATCCCACATCTATGCTTGTTTCTTTGGTGCTAAATAAATGAGTGAAAGCAAATGTGACAAGACATGGAGTTGACAAAACACATTAAAGACCACCAACCGTTGCACCTTCTCCAGTCCCCTCAGTCACGTGCCTATAATTATTATGCAAATAAGCAGTGAGGTTATGAGTACTGGACCACTGGATACAAGAGACAGTTTAGAGGGACCCCAAATGTAAAACAGCACATTTTTAAAAGATTGTTAGTGGTGCCACTGCCTGGAATGTGAGGGAGGGATACATGGAATGGAAAGAGAGAGTACAGGCAGAGCAAATGGGAAAGAAAAAGAGAAACAGAGAGTACAGGATAGAAGAACATGTGGGAGATATATAAAGGACAAAGCATCAAATGTGGGGTCCCAAACATCAAATGTGGGGTCCCGATAATTCGGCTACAGAATTGTTTGATCAATCCTCAAAAAAATGGCCTGGCAACATATATATCTCATTATTCTTCACCAAGAAAAAAATCTTCATATAAAGAAAAAAATGTTCCCCCTTATAATTAATAGAAGAGGCCGTTTGGAACTTTTACAGTTATATTCACCTGAACCCGAGCCTCAGTGAGTTTAGCTCTTTGTGCAAGTTCCTCTCTGGTGTAAATGTCAGGATAATGAGTCCTCTCAAAAGCTCTCTCCAGCTCTTCTAATTGTTCTGCCGTGAAAGTTGTTCTACTTCGACGCTGCTTTCTCTTCAGTGGCAAATCTGGCTCAGAATCAATGTCAGAACCTTCATCTGATTGTGGTGCTGAAGCTAGAAAGCAAGCAAGCAATGGAGCAATTAATATTTGATTGGAGAGATCAGAAGAAAAAAGTACCTAGCCAAAGCTGCAGGAACTAGCACCGAGCAAATAATGTTTTATTCAAATTAGTCAATTTGGTCCTAGGCACCGAACAATAAGCACTCTTGTCTGAGCATGCTACAGCATATTTCCTTCAAATGGCTGAATAATTCTTAATAGAAACTTCAGATAATACAGTCATTTTCCTTCCTTCTGGAATATCTGCAGGCACAGATTCCAATTTCCTTACATGGCTTATTTATTCAAATATATTCAGTGTATTTTTCCCCAGTGATTTCAACAGTTTGAAACCTAAGCCATGCAGATTCTAAGTTGCTGAAATTAGTCCAGTAAATTTGTATGGCCTAGCCTCAAATCAAATAAACAAAAATCCTCATTTATTTAAATGTTCAAGCATCTGTGAGTTTGTTGCTAAGACTGCTGAAGAGGTTGCCTTTAGCAATGGAGTCACTGCCAAGGGCTTCCCACTTAAAATGAAAAGTGGATTTTTATTATTGGTGAGTGAAGGTTGTCTTTCCATGTAATGCCACTTAGTTTCTCCATGCACTGTGTCATGGTTTAACCATGGTTTACTAAAATTGTCTGGATTGACACAATGCACTAAGGCATTAATTATGATCTGCAAATCATAATGGTTTGGTTCTAAGCCAAAACTAAGCAAACCACATTACAGCTTAGCATGTTGTATAAACTCAGCCAATGGCTTCAACTCTTGCTCCTATAGAATTACACACTTTTATCTTAGTGGACCCTCAAAACTGAAACCTTGAACAGGAATAAAAAAATTATTTCATCCCAAACTTCTATATTTAGTTTACTTGAATAAAAAATTCATGTATTCAATATGTTTATGCAATCATGAGGGTGTCGTAAAATGATATAAAAATACAAAACAGACAATAAAAGCTTTCCAGTTGAATTAATTTACACCTTCTATCTTGCTCAATTTGTGGCAACTAATAACTGCCATATAAAAGCTGAATCGACTCTGGAATGGCTGTTGCTGGCCCAAAAAATCTCAGCAACTCCTTCAGCACTGATGCCTTCATAACTCCCTCCATTGCTAGAATGCAACTTTTAGTTACATTCTAATCTAAATTGCAATTTATTTCAGTTCTATAACCTTTATAGCTGTTGTGCTTGTTGCCCAATCACCTAGATCAATGTTTCTCAACCTTGGCAACTTTAAGATGTGTGGACTTCAGCTGGGGAGTTGCCAAGGTTGAGAAACGCTGATCTAGATCTATCCATCCAAGGGTCTTATTATTATGGCACCTCAACTACACTGAATGTGAAAAGATTTGGAACACCTCTCTTTTCATTGAATAATTTTGTTCTGAACCCAAGAAAAATGTAGCAGTTATCCCAATCAGCTGGTATGAAACTGATGAGCAGAGCAGTTGATTCCTAAAATTAGTTCTTTCTGCACATGTAAATTGTTTTTTTCTTTGGAAAGAACTAGAGCATGATCCAAAAATAGATGCCTAAACCCAGTAGGAGAGCATTAGTTTTTGCTACAGGGTTCATTTAATATGATGAAACATAATTTGTGTTAAAAATTATTTCAAAGGAGAAGCAAAATCTCACGGGTGATGAAATTCTCATCTGTGGAGTGTGTCAGTCCCACACTTATTTACTTACAATGTGGGCAAGAAGTGTTTGTGAATATTTTGTCTCATATTGTACAATCATCTCTCCATTCATCTGCAGCCTCCCTGGCTTCCCAAGCTTTAATTAAATCCAGGGGTATAATCATGGGGAAATTCTTCTTACTAGGCTTTTTCAGTCATGGCATATTAAATAGATAGATAGATAGATAGATAGATAGATAGATAGATAGATAGATAGATAGATAGATAGATAGATAGATATGCCAGTAACACAGGAGAAATATCTCAGCTTCATATTGTTCCCTGTTATCATCCAAACCATAAAATGACTTATAAAAAAAGAAAAAAAACTGGTTATTAATAGCTTCAGAATTTAACAGAGTCTGGCAATCCTCAGTAACTATTTCAGAAATTAGGCTCTGTTGATTTTGTTGCTTCAAGTGACGTGGAAACAACTTACTAGCTTACTAGACACCTAATAATTGGCTGCTATATTATGTTTCTGGACCCTGCTACGAGAGAGGTAAATTGTATTCTTGCAAAGGAAGGAAAATGGATGCAAGGTACATTTTTTAAAGCATTTGTTTGCATAAACAATGTATAAAAGTAGGAGATCAAAAATAAAAATGCAAGAAGATATCACATTATAAAAAATACATTGTAAAAAAAAGAATTCAATAGTGCAATCTCTCCCTGCTTACACATTTTCTCCCTACCACTAACTACTAATTAGATATTTATACTTTGTTTAAAACTTTAAACGGTGTTGCTTATATCTGTTTTTTTTTTCAGTTGTTCTTTTAATCAATTTGTCTCTTTGCTTCAGAAACCATATTCTAAATGTCAGCTTGCTTTGATGTATAATATGTTGTGTGGAAGGGAGCCATTCCTGCTTGAATTTGATTAGAGTTCTGTTGTGAATATATATCTTCAGTTTCTCTATTGCTGCATATCCTCCAATTTTTACCTCCCAATCTTGTACTATTAGCAAAATTTCTCTTTTCCAATACTATGCCCAATTCTTGCCGCCATCAGCATATATCTGAATAAATTGTGATACTTTTCATTTATACTGTCTGGAATCATTCCTAATAAAAATATTTAGAGTTTCAATTCAAATGTTCCCTGAATGTTTTGATGTATTCCTTTCCATACTCTTGAATTTTTTTGCATGACCACTATATATGATAGAATATTTCTTCTTTGTCAGGGCATTTCCAGCATTTATTGTTGTATGATTTGTCCATTTTAGCAACTGATGACAGAGTTATATACCATCTATAAAACATTTTATCCCAATTTTCCCTTAAATTATAGCTTGGAGGAAATTTTATTTATTTATTTGCAGAACTTTTTCCATTGATCCACTATGATCACTTCTTTTGAAATTATGCACCCATTTTATCACACTTTTTTTTAATTTGTTCTGTCTCTGTATCATATTTCAGTAACAATTTATAAATCTGACCTAAAAAATTATTTTGGTTTTGTATGTGTTTCATATTCTGTCATCTTTCTCAAGGTCCCTTCTTTTTTAAACGATAGCTTGCTGTCTTTCCAGTTATTTGCAAATACATTACCACGGTAGGGTCATTCTTTCATGTAGCCATTCTTGCTGTGTCTTTAATCTGTTTTCTGAATCCAAATATATCATTTTGGCATCTATGATTAAACCTTACTGTAGTTGGTGTTAGAGTAAAAAGTATTTGACAGTGATGCTAATGGTAAGACCACTGGACTTATGATTACTTTTAAAAGATTCCAGATGTTTAACAAACTTTGTGTTATAATGTGTATCTTCAGATTCTTTTCTTCTTTTGTTTCTTTATACCACAGATACCTAAGAAGTTGACTGGCTAGGCCTGCTTCTTCTATAACTGATATTCTACTATTCAGAAATTCTATCTATTCTGTTATCCACAATAAATAACTTGCTCTGTAGTACAGACTAAGATTAGGAAATGTTACTCTTCCTCTTTCTTTTAAGTCTTGCAAGACTTTTTTCCCCAGACCATGTAAATCTATTAATTTCTCAGTCTCAGTCCTGCACATCTTTATCTGCAACTGGAATTGGTGCTATTTGGAGTAAAAAGTTCATCTTGGATAATATATTCATTTTTAGTGTTGCAATGAATCCTAGACAAGAAAGTTTTAAACTTTTCTACTTTTCAGAGCCATTCATTTCAGATAAATACAAATAAGCATTCAAGAGAATGTAACAATAACTTCCCACTTCATACTGCTATGCAAACAGAAACAAAATTGGTTCTGAACTGAAATTGTTTTCTGCAAGAAAAACATCTGGTGTAGGCAAATGTTCAGTATAAGAGCATTATACTTCATGATTTACTGTCTCTCCATATAACACTGTTCTTGCTACTGATGTTAGAAGCGCAAGAAATACACCTTTGTTTTGCTTAATCAAGTCATCTTGAGTGCTTGTTTTTTTAATGGCAGTACTTCTGTAGTGGACATACTGTAGTTCTCTAATATTTAAACAGAAATAATTTGTTTCTAGAAAAACTGTTTCTAGTATTTGATGAAGTGTCATCAGTAATGCCCAGGACATCACTAAATAAAGAAATTATTATTACAATTATTACTAGGTTGTGTGTGTGTGTTTGCTTTTGCTTTCTTGAACTTTGGCCTTTAGTGTGTGACTGCAGCCTGAAGTCTACTTCTGGGTCCAGAAGATTCCCATTAGCTTGATGCAGAACATAGTTAGCACACTGAAGGTAAAACATCAGCCAGAAGAGTGAAGCCCAGAGGAATTACAAGGTAACCTGTACATCTCTTTGGCTGCTACTAGCACAAGAGTATAGAAAGACTGGGTTTTTTCCTATCTGTAGCTGATGAAAAAACATGCTAACAACATTTGCTTGGAATCAGATCCTGGGGAATTATATCTGTGGCATCCAATAACACATCTGAGCTGCCATCAACAGACAAGAGCCTTTTTAAATTTAAATGGGGGGATTCACTACAGGCTTCTTTAATGAGAAGTCAATATAGTTTATAGAAATAAATGTGAGCTGAGAAAATGAGATTGTGACTGTTCTTGTTGCTCATCTGTATTTTGTCTGCCTGATGGCTTTGATTCTATGCCTAGCTAAGTCTACCTTCCTGATGACTGGAGAATGATGGTGCCCATAGAAGAGTAAATACATATAGGTGGACATGCAGTAGGAGATATGGCACAGTGCAAACCAGATGAAGGGAAGCACGATCTCTGGTCATAGTTTCAGCTGTTCTGCCAGATGGAAAGTTTCTAGCAAACTCACTGGTCTGCCTTTTTACGCACTCATGTTGGTACTGAATGGAAGTTCAGTGTAATA